CACACACACACACACACACACACACACACACACACACACACACACACTTTCCTCTATAGTCCTGAAGTACGGGACAGAATTGTTTTGTTTTGTTTTGAGATAGTCTTTTGGATAGCCCAGGCTGGCCTTAAATGTGCCAGAAAACTTAGTATGACCTTGAACTTCTGACTGCTCTCCTGCTGGGATTTCAGGCTGCCTTGCCACCACACCTGGTCTCTGTAGTGCTGGGGACTGAGACTGGCCTTTTACCTTTGTCAAACAAACAGTCTATCAGCTGAGTCATATCCCAAACCTTAATAATCCCTTTTTGTGGGTAGATTAACCGAGGCTCAGAGAAGGCAAATGACTTCTCCAGGCACACATTTAGCCTAGTAGAGCTAGGTTTCAGTGCACAGGAATCCAGCTCCTCCTTCCCATTGCCTGGTGCTGGCAGCTATGGGGAGCTTTGGGGGCGTTCTCTCAGTTCCTCCCCACTTTCCAGTACTCCCTCCTTGATCCAGGCCAGTGTGTGTGCGTGCTTGTTGTGTGTGTGTATGTTTGTGTATGTGTGTTTGCACACTCACACACATGCACACGTGGGCATGTGAGCATCTTGCCTCCAACTTCCCTGGAATAAGGCAGAAAAAGGCCTCCTGTGTTTTCAGGTCCCATAGCTCCATCTCCAACCCACTGCTTTGCCTATCTTAGCCGATGTAACAAGCTGGGCTTCCTTTGACAACCTGAACAAGAGTGACCATTTGATGGGTTTGGGGTTCCTTCTATGAGATGCTAGAAGCATGGGTTGCTGCCTGCTATCCAAGTAGTAGATGGGGAAACTGAAGCCAGGATTGGCAGTTGCTGCCATCCTGTTACTAGAGAGGCCCAGCTGGGAAGAGGCTGGGCCTGGGCTGATAGGAGTGGGCTTTTCCTGGGGAAGCCCAACACACTGAGTGCGTTCTCTAAGACAGTGTGTTCAGTGTTTACCTTGTGCGCACTAAGGAGTGCTTTGGATTTTTCCAGAAAAGTAGTGCCATGTATGAACCAAAGCTAGAGATTTGAGCTTCTGAGAGCACTGGACTCTTGTAAGCCCAAAAGGGATCCTGGGATCGTTGTGCAAGTCTGGAAATACTCTAGAAGGCTTTTAGTTATATGAAAAGTTTTATGGCAGGTGGATGACCTCTCTCATAACTCAACACTGGGGGTGCTTGAGAAATGGCTCAGCATTTAAGAGTACTGCTGCTCTTGTGTGGGACCCTGCTTAGTTCCCAGCACCCACATGGTGGCTCACACCCATCAGTGACTCCATTCCAGGGAGTCTGGTGCCTTCTTCTGGCCTTTGTGGGCACCAGGCATGCATACAGCACACACACAAACATGCAAACAAAAGACTCACACACATAGAATAAATATAAATCTCTTTTTTAAAAAAGAATAGTCTGGATTGGAGCATACCTCACCCGTTAGAGCTCAGCAGATGTGTTGAATAAATCATTAATGAACATCACATCTTGTAAAGCACATATGTTTGCTTCTCATAACAGCCTTGAGAAGAGGTAGGCCAAGAATAGTCCCCACTTAACAGGTAAAGAAATGGAGGCCAGGGAACATGAAGTGGCTCGTCTTGAGCAATTGAATGTGAGATTTATAGAGTTGGCAAAGATTTTCCCCCCTGCCATTTAACCTTTGCTTCACTAAGGCTTGACTGAATACTTTTTCTACAGTTTGCACAGCCACTGGGGATGCGCCATTTAGCATGAACAACCGTCCATTTCTTCCTGTTGTCCCCAGACTTTGTCAAACAGCAGAGATAACGTGATTGGTGCTGGGCGGTGCACACCAGGACTGTGGGTGGCCACATGGGTACCCAGGACGGGAGATCACAAGGCAACTACAGCCCAGGAGGATGACAGATAACTGTGCAAGGACAGAAAACACGGCCACATGGCTGGTTGGTGGTCCCAGCTACTTGAGACAGAGTTGTGCCCTCTTGCGGTTACTACTGCAGGAGTCAGGGAGGTGACTGCCTTAGCATGTCATGCTCTGGCTGCTGGAGTTGCCTCAGCAGTGGATTACAGTTGAACTTGTGCTCTGTCCAAACTCAGGCCCACATGGAGACCTCGTTCCACTACTGTGAGTTTCTGTGAGATGCTTTTTTCCCCCTGTGCCTTGTTTTGACCATTCATAAAATGGAGTCAGTAACAATTCTCATTTTGGTGAGAACACAAGCAACTTTACTCAGTAGGTAGTTCCTTCTACTGTGAACTTGAAACCATGATAATGGTTGTTGATATTTAGATATTGGGATCGGATGTGGTCAGCAAGGCCAGTGATGATTGTGTTCTTGTTGGTAATTTCATGTGTTCAGCCCTTTGCAGTTTACAGACTATGAGCCCATCCATCACTGTACATGCCCTTTGGGAGGCAGGGGAGGTGGCAACATCTGCATTGTGCTGATATATATCAGGCAAGTGGTCCCTCATGGTTTCAGCTTGGGTCTCCCTGCTTTGAAAACCCCTGTTGAGGTGCTGGGGGACCTGCCTCTGGGGCTCCACCAGGGAAGGGCAGGGTGAATTTGACCCTGATTTTTACTCTGTGAATGTCATAGATAGGGTGAGAATTGGGTGACATGCACAGGCCTAAAATCCAGATGTTCAGTGTGGCTGGCACAACTGTCTCCCACAACCTTTGGGCTCAGGACCTTGGGAGCTCGGAGCCCACGGTATCTTTGTTTGTCCCATGGCCAGACAGCCCTCAATTCCTAGATTCGGGTTTCCTTTTCTTGTCTGTTTTCTGTTTTCCCACTCCCAACCCCGGTGACTGTGCCTAGAAAAGGACCGTGTCTCCGACTGCTGGCACGTTCATTGAGCTCTCACCACGCACCGGTGTCCTGGGTGCTGAGTGCAGGAGGCCAGTGCTGTGGGTAAACACGTGCTGTATTTATGTCCCCAGGATCCAAGTGCTGGCACATAGCTCTGGGTGCTAGTTTTAGGGTGGGGCCTTTGGGGGTGAAGGCTCCTTCCTCGTGAACAGTGTGCCTGCTCTTACGAAAGATCCCGGAGAGCCGGCTTGTCCTTCTGTCATGTGGGGACATGCTGGAAGGTGCCAGCTGTGTGCCAGAAAGTAGAGTCCTTACCGACACCACGTCTGCTGCCACCTTGGCATTCTAGCCTTTGGAAGTGTGAGGAGCAATGCCAGCTGTGGGTGGTATTTTTGTATAGCAACACTCAGGGATTGGCAGTACCTGGCTGGTAAAACGAAGGGAACTTTCCCCCAGCCTCTGGGTTCCTGGGGGACTGTAAGAAAGGGGTCTCTTGGTATGAGGGATTTTGAATCTGGGAAATATGCCTGTCCTATGGAAGCTTCTGTGTTCTGGGAAGTCAGTCTTATGCTGTGCTCCCATCTCTGGTGAGGTCTTGCTGTGCGGCCTTGGGCTAGTCTCCCCATCACCCCTCTGAGGGTTTGTGTTGAGATAGGAGTCCCTTGCAAATGTGAGACACTCAGGTGGCCCATGTGTCACATGCTCACAGGAGCCCAGCCTTTTAACAAAGTCTTTCCTGTCTAGAGGGCGTTTCTTGGTCCCACAGGATCTGAGGGCAATTTCTGTCATTTTCCCACCTTCCCTGCCCTCTGTCTCATTTCTCAGATAAGCCTCTGGTTTCTTGCTCAAGTGACACAGCTAGACAGAAGGTTGACTGTCCGAGCAGAAGGGGAGGGACCTGGGGGACAGTCCTGGTTAGTCCTGACGCACAGCATTCCAGTGATAGAAGGCTCAGCAGTGAGCACCTACCCTGTCCCCAGGCAGTGCAAGGACCTCTGGCCGGGCTGGCAGGTTGGGAGGAGCCTCTTTGAGTTCTTCCGGTCCCAGACTCTTGCTGGCTGCTGCCACAGCTCTGGGCTCTGCCATTTGGCCCTGGCACCGGGACTGGTTTGGCAGGTTTTGCCACACCCCTGAGCAATGGGAGGGCTGGAACTGGGGCAGGCCAGGCCAGAGGAAGCAGTGCTGCCCTGCCCTTGACCCCCACCCCCAAAGCCCAACCTACCCTCAGTTACCTTTTCTACCTGGGCTGGAGACTTCCTCAGTCTGTCACTATGGGTAAGTCTAGTCCTTCCTTGAACATCAGTCTCTTTATCTGTGGGCTTGGGGCTCAGTGTTCTCCAATCATACTATCCTAATTAGAGTTTTGCCATTCATTCCGATCTGTTCTTGGACAAACTGAGCAATCTTGACGGCCCTAGGCTCCAAATGGGAAGACAGGCTGTGCCTTACGGTTGCTTCCTGCAGATGTTGACAGGATCAGCTAACGTCCTAGTGAGTATCTAATGTCTCTGGGAAATAGCTTCTTTCTGTACTGTGACCCTCTCCAAATGGGAGAGATGTTGTGAGTGCAGGGGTGGGGGAAGCTTTCCCTAGGCACCTCCCTTACCTACTTACCCAGCTCATAATTGCCAAGAGCCAGACTTCCTGAGCATCTCCATGGGTGCCAGATAGAGAATGAGAAGGTAGAGGGAAGTCCCTGAGTTTACTGGCTCCTGTTTCTCCTGATCTGCAGTCAACCCAGCGGCCAGTTCAGGGGGAGGGAGGAACAGTCCATCTCTGCTACAACCTCACTGTGTGGCTGAAGTATACAGGACTGTCTCATTGGACCATCTCACAAGAGTATGCAGATTAATTATCCCTCATGTCCTCAGAAAATGCAGGTTTTGACAATATCTAGGTTAGAAGAAGGAGTAGGAATTAGAAGAGGATGTTCTCCACCTGAGATGGAAAGGCTGGTGGAGAGGAGTAAACCGGACTCAAGTTTACCAGGTCTCTGCTCTGGGCTAGCACGGATCAGTTACTTTGTATGCTTTGCATGCAGGGGAGCGGATGAGTTACTTTGTATACATTGCATACTGGGGGGTGGTGGAGCAGTTACTTTTTATATATTGTATACTGGGGGGGTGGATCAGTTACTTTGTATACATTGCATACTCGGATAGATCAGTTACTTTGTATACATTGCATACTAAAGCGTGTCTTCCAAACACACAAGCCACTTCACTGTCTCTTTTGTTCTTATAATAAAATCTAAACTTCCCAACTGGGCCTGGTGGCACACGCCTTTAATTCCATCACTTGGGAGGCAGAGGCAGGCGGATTTCTGAATTTGTGGTCAACCTGGTCTACAGAGCAAATTCCAGGACAACCGGGGCTATATACAGAAATGCTGTCTTGGGGGAAAAATTAAAATCAAAGTCTAGGCCTGGAGAGATGGCTCAGAGGTTAAGAGCACTGGCTGCTCTTCTAGAGGTCCTGAGTTCAATTCCCAGCAGCCACATGGTGGCTCACAACCATCTGTAATGAGATCTGGTGCCCTCTACTGGCAAGTGTATATATAATAAATAAATAAATAAAAGTAAAATAAATTTTTTAAAAAAATCAAAGTCTAAACTTCCCATGAAGGCCCCTGAGGAAAGGGAGCCTCCTTCCCCCACCGTGTTTCTCCCCATTGGTCACTTAATTGAGCCAGAGGAATCTTCTGTTATTTGTTCAACAAATTCTCACCTCAGGATCTTTCTATAGGTTGTTCCTTTCTTTCACTTGGAGTTCTTTCTCTGACTCTTTGATTGATTTTTGAAACAGGTTTCTCTGTATAGCCCTGGGTGACCTGGAACTCACTCTGTAGACCAGGCTGGCATCGAACCCAGAGATCGGCCTGCCTCTGGGCTTGGATAAAAGGCTGTGCCACCACACCTGGCTGCTTCCGCTGGCTCTTTATGGCTTTGGCTCCTTACCTTTTATGTCTCAGTTTATTTAATTCTCCCATTCCACTGATCCCATAGTTGCTTCCTCTCTCTGCCCTGCCCAGCTTTTGAAATAAGATCTTGCTGTGCAGCTCAGGTTAGCCTTGAATTCATGACCTTTCTGCCTAAACTTGGGTTGCTAACCTAAGCCACTATGCCCAGTTTATCTTCACATCTGAATCCCTAGCTCATCATAATGTGTATGTGTGTGTGTGTGTGTGTGTATGTATGTGTTTAATCGTTCATGTCTGTTCTTAATTCTACAGTACACAACACAAGCTAGGCAGTCAGTGTGTTTCTTATGAAGGGAGTGAGAGAGGGGTGGGTGCCTGGGCCTACAGCACCGCTCTTAGTAGGTGCTTGGTAAATGGTGGCTTTTAGAGGGAATTAACATGGAAGTAAGTTAATACCCACTCATGTATGGGGTGAAGGCACAGCAGCAACTGAAATTGGAAAGCTGAGCTGGTGTTGGATCCTGTGGTTCCTGATGCCCAGCTGTGGTTTAGATTATCTGAAGGACAGTGTCCAGAAATCATTGCTGGTGAAAATGGAGAGATGGCTCAGCAGTTAAGAGCACTGGCTGCTCTTCCAGAGGACCTGGGTTCAGTTCCCAACATCCATACGGCAGCTTACAACTGTCTGTAACTCCAATTCCAAATATCCAATGCCTTCTTCTGACTTCTGTAAGCACCAGGACATACATGCTGGCAAAATGCTCATATGTGTACAATAAAAAGAGATAAATCATTTTGTTTGCTCTTTGCTTTTGAGTCAGGATTTCTCTGTATAGCCCTGGCTGTCCTGGAACTTGCTCTGCAGACTGGGACTTGCTCTGCAGTCTCGAACTCAGAGATCTGCCTGCCTTTGCCTCCCAAGTGCTAGGATTAAAGGTGTGCACCACCACCATCAAGCTAAAAAGAGATAAATCTGAATGAAAGAAGGAAAGGAAGGAGGGGAGGGAAGGAGGGAGGAAGGGAGAGAGGAAAAGAGGGAGGGAGCGAGGGAGGAAGGGAGGGAGGAAGGGAGGGAGGGAGGGAGGGAGGGAAGAAAAAAGAAGGCAAATCATTGTTGGCCATGAAGATAACTGCACAGCTCTCTTGAAAGTCTGCTACAGCCACTCTATTAAAAGTCCATAGCCCATGCTGTACTATGATGTGCGCTGGATAAAGGCTAGAGAGGAACAGGCTAGACCCTTGCTGATGTGGCTTTGCTAGCCCAGGAGGAGAACTCAGTGGGGCACAAGCTGTATTTTATGATTCCATTAGCTACTGCAGTGTTCTTGCAGGGCAGAGAACAGGGCGACCTGAGGGGGTTTTTTTGTTTGTTTGTTTTTTGTTTTACTTTATTTTTATTTTATGTGCATTGGTATTTTGTCTGGATGTCTGTGTGAGTGTGAGGGTGCCTCTGGAACCGGAGTCAGAGACAGTTGTGAGCTGCCGTATGGGTGCTGGGAGTTGAACCTGGGTCCTCTGGAACAGCAGTCAGTGCTCTTAAGCGCACAGCCATCTCTTCAGCCCCCCAACCTGAGGGTTTAATGCATAGATTTATTCATGGCCTCTGCTGGGTTCGCCACAGCTTGGGTTTGGTTTTTTCATCTGTAGATGGATTGATCTTAGTGTATGCCTCCTAGGGTCTGGGTAAATGTTAGTGAGGTAGTGCAGGCAAGACTGGGCAGGGGGATGCTATTGACTGGGTTCAGTTGGGGCAAGCTGGCATCTTTCATTCAGCAGCATCCCGTTCAGAAAGGGCCTTCCAGAGAAAGAGTGTCCTAGTTAGGGTTACTATTGTTGCGATGAAACACTATGGCCAAAACCACCTTGGGGAGGAAAGGGTTTATTTCACTCAGAGTTCCATCCAACGGTTTATCGTCAGAAACATGAGGGCAGGAACCTGGAGGCAGGAGCTGATGCAGAGGCCATGAGAATGCTGCTGACCGGCTTGTTCTCCGTGGCTTGCATAGCCTGTTTTCTAGTAGAACCTGGGACCAATAGCCCAGGGATGGCGCCATCCACAATTGGCTAGGCCCTCCCCCATTAATCACTAAGTAAATACCCTCCAGCTGGATTATATGGAGGCATTTTCTCATTGAGCTTCCCTTCTTTCAGACAATTCTAGCTTGTGCCAAGTTGACATAAAACTAGCCAGGAAAAAGAGGTAACCGTGGGTGCAAAGGAGACAGTAAGCTAAGGGCCTCAAACAGGACTGGGTTTTAGAGTCGGCCTAAGCTTGCAAGACAAGCTGGGGAATAGAAGAAAAGTGCAGTAGCAGGCGGCCAGCATCCTATGCCTGTGCACACCGGGCCGGGCCCGGGAGCTGAGACTTCCAGCAGGATCCTGCAGGGCGTTAGGTTGGGAATGAGGCAGCCAGCTCTCAGGCAGGAGGTGGTGAGATGGACTGGTGGAGCAGAGTAGAAGACACAAGTGGGTTGGGCAGTGTCATTGGTGGGAGGCAGTGCCGGGAAGCAGGCTGTTGGTACTGGGTTAACCTCAGGCAACAAAAATGGAGAAGAGAGAGTTTAAGGAGTATGTAAGGGGGAGTGGACGAGCACGGGGGCCGGCTATGTGGAGGAAGGGGAGAGGAAGAAACCTGTGTGTGGGAACTGTAGGCTTCCAGTGGCTGGCGGAAGGGTTTGTGGTGGGAAGAATCTGGACATGCTTGTGGGTCTTGATGTCCGGTTTGTTTTTCCTGGCTAGTGAGATGTTTCATGAGAAACCCAGTTGTTTGGACTCTTTTTGTACTCAATGTTTTTTTTTTAATTTAAATTTTGTTTTGTTTTACTTTATATGTATGATTATTTTGCCTGTATGTATGTCTGTGTACCACGTGCATGCCTGGTGCCCAGAGATGCCAGAAGAGGGCGTTGAATTCCCTGAAACAAGAGGTGCAGAGAGTTGTGAGCTACCATGTGGGTACTGGGATCAAACGCAGCTCCTCTGGAAAAGCAACTGATGCTCTTGATCGATCTCTGGGCCATTTCTCCAGCTCTCCTGTTTGTTTTTGAGAAATGATCTTAGGTGGCCTGGGTGGTCCTTGAACTTTCTGGAAAGCCAAGGTGGCCTTGAATTCCTCATCTTGCAGCCTCCACCTCCCAGGTTCATGTTACAGATGTGGGATACCCTGCTTGGCTTTGCTCTGGTCTCTGGTGTGGAAAACATTCCCAAAATCTCGGAGTGATGGATTCCTCTTCTGAGTCAAGAGTGTCCTCCATGGAGATACTACACATGGCCTAGGGACTTGGCAAGGGAGGAATGGCCATTTGGCTTGTAGGTGGCAATGCTGGGACTCTATTTGGAAACTGTTTTCAGAGCC